CAAGAGGGTCCAAAGACTTCAAAGGTTGTCATTCTAAAACCCCACATGGTTGTTTTTAATATTATTCTAACATCTTTAAAAGGATCCTTGATGGTTTGGTTTTGTTATAAACTCGAAAATTATTAGAATTTTTAAAAGCTTTCGTTCCCATTTTTGTGAAAAACTCTCTTATATTTATATCAAAACTCATCAATGGTATCAGAGCCATCTTTTATATGTTAGAATGATTTTCCATGTTTGATAATCTTTGGTTTTTGAAAAACAAGTATGAATTTATTTTTGGCTAAAGAAATGTCTATATGTGTTTTCTTTGACAACTTGTTGTTTAAAAGTGTTTATATTTTATATAACCATGTTGCCATGTATTTTTGTTATATAACAGTTGCCTTAGAAAAAACAAAGAGTAGTTTATTGATATGTTTGTTGACTATAAACAACCGTTAGGACATTTGTGCTTGTTATTTATTTATATGATGATGTAATAGAAAATTTGGTATTATTTCATTTGTTTAATTTTATATGTAATCAATTAGTTTTTAGACTAATTGTATTTTTTTAAAATGTAACAAAGATGGAGCATGAAGACCTTATTAAGACATGGAGCTATTGAAGACCTTGAAGTGTCATAATAAGTCCTTTAGGAAATGATTTAATATTTATTGTGATGACTCACAATAAATATTACTAGAAAATTGTTTTGTTTATATACTTTAAAATGCATGTTTGTGATGTTTACTCTTTGTTGTTATATTAAATTGTATGAATGTAAATGTTTTTCTCATGCTAAAAGCATTTTAACAAAAAATAACATCAAGTTAGGGTTTAGAATTTTAAACAAAAGTTTCCAACATGAGATGTTAAAAATTGAGTTTTTGTTAAAAAATAGTTTTATTTTTTTAGAACTATTAAATAGCTAAAATTTTAAAGATTTCACAAGGTTTAAAATGTTTTTTAAACTTAATCTAAACTTCATAACTCTATAATAAAAGGATGCTTTATTAAAAAGTTAAAATTGAACATAAATTTTAACCGATAACGTCGAATTAAAATTGAACATAAATTTTAACCGATAAAATTATATATAAAATAAATTGAACTTTATAATTTTTGGGAACACTTTAAAATGTACTATAGAATATTTTATGCATGAAATATTTATGATAGAAAATGTTTTAAATTGCTAGAATAATAAAACATTTATACAAGTTTTTTTTTTTTTCCAAAACTTCAAATTTATGCAATCCACTTAAAAATCATTTAGCATTTTTTTTGTGTAATTCTTATGAATATTGGGTCATCTTATCTATTTAGATTGTCAAAAAATGGTCAGCGTATTTTATATTTACTTATGAAATAAAAGTCACCTAACCATTTGTGAAATATTGTGACAACCCAAAAGATTTGGATCAAGGAAGGTCTAAGCTGTAACCCTATTACAATAAAAACCTTGAAAACCTAAAAGGGCATAAGTGCATGTAAATTGATGTATACGCTTTGGAAATCATATATAAGATAACCCCTTGAAAGTAAACAAGTTTATCAAGGCAAAACTAGACAAATAAATTTGGAATAGGAATCATGGATTTAAAATATTGTTTAATAGTATTTAGCCTAGTATCACACCCACCTTAGAACATTGAAGGTCATAAGAACAATGACTTAAGCTAACATATATGTATATAAATATGTGTTAATAAGCTAACATATATGTATATAAATATGTGTTAATAAGCTTTTGTGGAACCATGTTTAAATGCATTCTTCACAAGTCAACAAGATAGCACACCATAAGCATTTCCTTTATGAATTAGGGCCTAGAACTCCACCATGGCCGAAAATACCCTTGTAGGGACAAGATAGAACCGCAAACCCCTTTCCATGGAGGACCTTAAGACCGCAAACACCCTCAAAACTAATCACTTTGGCCGAAAACACCCTAAAGGACCTTAGCTTGGCCGTAAACACCTTAATGGGCCATAACGTGGCCGCAAACACCCCCCCCCCCTTAGATCTATTTGGACTGAAAACCTTATTTGTGACGGCTTCTAAGGGTTTATGGTTATACTTAGGCTGTAAACCCCTTCCTGTGGCAGTAAACCTATGGAGTAAATTATGAAAAAGTAGTTTCCAAGGGATTTTTCCATTAGATTTGTTGTACGTTAGAGATTTCATTAGGAAAAAAGAGTCAGCTTGACACACTCTTACCCAGCAAACAACTAGGCAAACATTTCAATGTACATCAGAAATCAATGCCTATCCTTTTTCATATAAGTCACGTCCAGGGGAAAAACATTTCCACCATTTTCTAGTAACCATTCACTTCATTTCATTCCATTTACACACCCATTTTTGTGTGTTAACCTTCTTAGGGCATTATAAGCTTCAAGGAGTTCATCAATAGCATCTTAGTGGCTAGGCTCACAATCTCTTCACAACACTTCAAATCCTACACAAAAACAACCAAGGTGAGTTCATACCCCCATATTTTCAAGCTTTTTCCATGTTTTTAAAAGGGGGGGGGGGGGGTAATACCAGTAAAACTTTGTTTATCCCACAAATAATTTCATGTTTTTCATCCTTATGTTAAAGATAAAATATTATTTACATGCGTTAGAGTTTATTCTAGTTTTGGTATAAGCATTTGTGATATACATTGTGTTAAAGTAAACTTAAACTAAGTTATAAAATCATAAAAAAGTTATGATTTGTAAAACTACATGGCTTTTAGGGAACTTTTACTAAAAGACAGCTTTACTAACAAAAATGGTTACATTATGGCCATTCTTTATCCTAGTAGGTTTTAACCCCAAAATATTATGTTTTGATTTCATATTTTCATGTTAGAATACGCAGCTGTTTTATATAAAAGATTATATAAATAGTTTCAACCAACGAGATAAACTATAATTGGTATAGTTTGGAAGTCACAAACCACAACTTTTAAAAATACATATAATTATTTAAAGGTATAAATATCTTATTTTGCAAGTAAAAGGAGTCAGAGTTCACGTAAATTTGTTAATGCCCTTGTGAGGCTCTCCTTCAGTGTACTTGCCTAGCGTACACCGTAAGTCTTGCGTTATAACCAGAGTCTCTTGGAGGGAGAGCGAGACCATTTTTTTATAGATCTATACGGGATTGACAACCCCACACCATAGCTATTCGCTATAGTTAGACCGACAAGTCTAGGGTGACAAAGGTCCCCCCGACTCCGACCCTTGAAGAACATCGTGTTCAGGCATATCAATTATATTAGCATGGTTATAAGAACGCACATAGAAATTAACAAAACCATCTGGTTACAAGAAGCTTTCACTTCATCAAATTTATTTAATTATAAAACTGCATATCATTTTTTTAGTACACCGTCACATATACTTTTGGTCTTAGGGTTTAAGACTACAGTTTTTCATACATTAGAAAATATTGGATTTTCTGGGAACACACTCTTTACAATTACAAACAAAGGAAAACAAAGGACATGCATGCGTCTATTCACGGTTTTGGAACAAGACTTACAAATCATTTTCATAGAAAATATCGGATTTTCTTAAAGTACTACGAGAACTATTCTAAACAAGTAAAAAAAAACCTTTTTATACAAAAACGCTTATGAATTCACCAACTTTTTAGTTGATGCTTTTCAAAATGACTTGTATTCTCAGGGAACCAGTAGACAGGTACTCAACTCTTCTTGAGGGTCGGCGTCGTCGTCTAATATTCTCCTACTTTTCAATTATTTGTATTCAACTTTTGGAACAATTGTGTTTGTAAACAATGTAATACTTGAAATCTAAATGTATGAATGTTTGTGCTGCTATGTTTCATTACTATTTAATTGTTATGGTACTCTACAAGAAGTCACTCCATCCGCCACCAAACGTTTCCGTCGTACTAGTTTGGGGGTGTGAGAGTGTAGCACCTGGTTCCCGGTACGTACTCCTTGCTATTTACATTTTAAAATAATCCATTTTTGCCTTGGACTCAGTGAGTTGATGGGCCAACTCGCCGAGTAGGAGTAGGATAAGGCGCATGGATTGAACTTTGGACTCGGCGAGTAGACCCTGTTTGGGCAAAAACCCTAATCCGGGTGTTTGCACCCTATTTAAACGCTCTAACTTAGACTCCTTTGTCCCTAACACTTCCATAGATCTCTAGAGCGAAACCCTAGCCCCCATATTGTTCTTGAGAGTGTTTTTGGCTTTGTGGAGAAGGTTTGGAGCTTAGAAGAAGAAGGAAGAGGTTGAAGTGTGCAAGGAAGGGAGATAGATCCGGAATCTAAACTGTGAGGAGCTTCCATTCAGGTAGAAAAGTTCTTACCTTGATAACTAGTTCATTAGATCCCCTTTTTGTCCCAAATTAGTGGTTTTCAAGCCCTAAAACCTCAAGCTCCATGTGTTAATGCTCTATGTTCTGAAAGGACTCCAGATTTGGACCTTATGGGCGTATTAGAAGTATAAAGTTTCTGTGGTTAAAGGGATTGAGGTTCCCATTGAGTGTATGACCTCATTAAGAGCTTGGTTTTGCCTTTTTGAGCTTATAGGGCCATGCATGCACGTAAAGTTTGCAACGTTACGTGATAAGCATGCTCAAGGAACATGGATCTATGGTTTGGAAGCGTTGCATGTCTCAGATTTGGTCTGTAGTGGGTCATAGGGACTCGACGAGTTCTATGAAGGTGGCCTTAGACTCGGCGTATAACACCTGTTTATTTATTAAATAAATAAATGAAATAATGAACGAATAGTAGCCCTAAAATAAATAATTATATATCAAAGGATGGAGCTAATTGTCATAAATTTAGAAGTTGAGGGCTAAAGGGTGAATTCTGGACCTTAATTGAAAAGAATTCGTCAAGAAAGGGGTGGTTTTGTAAATTATGTATTAATTTTGTAAAGATTTTAGAAGATATGAGCTGCTTAGTAACTATTGGGCTTCTTCTAAAAAGAATGTTAGGAGTCGGTGTCTAAAAGGTAAAATCTGGATCTACTTTGAAATAAATGAGAGTTGGAGGGACCTATCTTGCCATTATGGTAATATGTTTGTGTCCATCGGATATATATTGAATATGAAACCCTAACCCTAAGCAACTTATGTAACAGCCGACACCCACTCCCTTTCATCCTCCAGCCGACATCTCCTTCACCCTCGTCTCGTTGCCATGCGTCTTCCTCCTCGCCACCGCTGAAGCCAGTCGCCGGACTCCATCTCTTCTACATCGGAAAGTGAGTATGGTGGTTGGATGGTCTATTGCTGTTACGAACCACCAGACCTCAACCGTCGTTTCTATTGTTGCTGGAGGCGGAGGACGACGATGGAGCATCGTTCAGTCGGAAGCAGCGGGAGATAAGTCGTAGCCACCTATGCTGCCTCCTCCTCCTCATCTGTGAAGACAAAGTAGCGGGACCATCGGTGGAGCCGCAAGATCAGTCGACAATGAGGCTGGGAGCCGCTAATCGCCATTGTTATGTTGTTGTTGCCACCTTCGGAGGAGCTTGAGCATTGCTGTCATCGTTACGGAACCCCCCTCTGCTCGGTTCGTTGCTGCTGAACCGCTATCTCTATCCTGCCGGCATGAAACCATAGCTGCCGCCGCCATACGCCATTATCGAGTGGTTGGTTTCTCTTTTCGAGCAAAGGGAGTGATAGTCTGTGTGTTTTCGTTTATGGGTATGATTTGTTTGACCGGAAATCGCAAGAGCTGCTGCTGCTACCACTGTGAGGTGGTGGCTGCCGCCAAGGACCACCACATGTGTGTGTTGGTATTAGTGTAGTGTGTGTGTTTTTATTCTAGGAATTCATTGTAAAAGTTGTAAGAGCCAAGAATAATAAAAGAAATTGAAAACCACCACCTTAGGGTGGTGGCTGTCGCCTCCTGCCGCCACCGGCCGCCGCATCGGGTGGCGGTGTGCTTTGCCTGGTTGTGTTGACTAGTTTGGAGTGCTAAAAACCCTAATGGGCCCAAGGAAGCCCTAATGGGCCCAATGAAGCCTAATAGGCTTAATGAAAACCCTAATGGACTTAATGATATTCTAGTGGGCTTAATAGGCCCAATAAATCTCTAATTGATCTAAAAGTCCAACAAGCTAATAAATGGGCTAGTATTTGGGTTAGAAACCCTATTTAGGGTTTGGAAAACCCTAATGCCAATAAAACCCTAATTTTAGAATAAATTGGGACACATACACACACACACACCCGAGAATTATTAATAACTCGAAACATGAATAATAATCATAAGCAAGGTTTAGCTATGCGATATGGGACTTAATGAGTTAAGTCCTTAGAGGATAAAGTTCTTAATGGGTTAAGTAGGAAACTTAACCCTAATCGTCATTTTATGTGAAACCCTAATTTCTCTTGGGTTTATTGTTGGGCCTTGATGATTGGATTATTATTGGGCCATCCAAAGTGAAGCAATTGGACTAGAATAATTAATGGGCTTTGAGGTAAGGCCCATATGAGGAGTGTGCCCAATTTGGAAAATTAGCCATGTGTTGAGCTTTGATTCCTAATTGAATTTAGGCCTACGAATTGGACCTTAGGCTTGGATAAACCAAGATAGGGGTAAAGTAGTAATTACCCAAAGAATATACTTATGGTTATGTAGTGGGATCCAATTATTAATTAGGTGATGTTTGATAATTGACAGATCGAGAATCTGTCTTCCAGCAGTTGGAGTTTAGTCTGCAGGACTTCAGCAGTGTGGGATTGAGTCTGCGGGACTTCAATAGTGTCAGGTGAGTCTTCTCACTATACCTTACCTGGAATGGTAACTAGGTGTGACTGGAAGGTCTTATGTGTATGAATGAGTTATGAGACCTTATGTGATATGTGACCGGAAGGTCTTATATATTTGTATGAGCTATGTGACTTATGTGATATGTGATCGGAAGGTCTTATATATATATATATATATATATATATATATATATATATATATATATATATATATATATATATATATATTTGTATGAGCTATGTAACTTATGTGATATGTATATGTTGTATGATTTGGGACCGCAAGATCGACAGAGATATCGCTGCAAGGCAATCAGAGTTATAGCCGGAAGGCGATCAGAGTTGAGGCCGAAAGGCAAGCCACGGTAGGGCCGGAAGGTCTACCAGAGTTGTGGGACCGGAGGGTCCCGCTGAGACACATTGACCGGAAGGTCTTACAAAGCTATAGCCTCGAGTGGCTAATATGTTTATGTGGTATTTTGGGAAACTCACTAAGCATGCGTGCTTACCATGTTATGTGATATGTGTTTTAGGTACATTGTTTCAAAGGAAAGCAGACGACTTGGTCGCAACGCATCACACTATGTTTTCCGCACACGGGATCCTTGGGATTAGACTATGATACGATTTTATGATACTCTGTTTGATTAATGACACTTTAGTTTTTGACATGAGATATTATTATGAAACTTTTTTTTATATTAATCGCTTCTATAAAATAACTTAAATAAAAATGAAATTTTTGGCCTTGAATTTTGGGATGTTACACGGCGAGTTGGATGAACAACTCGGCGAGTCATATGAATGTTGCCTGGAACTCGACGAGTTGTTCTTGGACTCGGCGAGTCGGATCGCGAGTCAGTTCTATAGTCCCAAGTAGTGAGTTAAGGGTGACTCAGTGAGTGGGAAGAGGGACTTGGCGTGTAGGACCGAGTTAGTGGGAGAAGGACTCGGCGAGTCGGTGGCATGTCTCGGTGAGTCCAGTCAACTAGAAGTTGACCTTGACCAAGGAGTTGACCTTGGACCAGGGGTGGGTCAGTCATCTGACCTAAGGGTGTGTATGAGAGGCTAACCTATGTTTATGATTCATAGCCGGAGGAATTCCTACTCAGCAGTCAGGCGCTTAGCTAGCAAACTTCAGCAGCTACTTTCGAGGTGAGTTACCTTCCAGTAGCGGTGGGTCTAAGGCCACAATGTCGGGCTACCAGTAGGAGACGTATGATAGATGATTATCTTTGTGATATCATCTAGGTTTGCTACTACCTGATATGTTATATGCTAGCAGGATATGTTGTATGTGATAGTAGTAGAGTTCGGTTGTTAGGACCGAAGGGTAATCAGACACCCCAGGTACGTCTGACAGTATGTGATGATATGTTTGCATGCTAGCTTGTTATGTTATATGCGATAGAGGTAGTAGGAGGGGACCAGTCCCCAAGTTCGGCTGTTAGGACCGAAGGGTAGCTCAGGCACCCCAGATATGTCTGGTAATATGTTTATGTTATGTATATGTGATAGTAGTAGTAGGGGGCGAAATAGTCCCCGAGGTTCAGTTGTTAGGACCGAAGGGTAGTCAGCACCCCATAACGGCTTGACATGGGTAGTCAGCACCCCAGAATGGCTTGATACGGGTAGGTCGGCACCCCAGAATGGCCGTACCGGGTAGGTCGGGCACCCCAGAATTGCCTGGCAGTATGTATGCAATGTTTTTATGTGGTATGTGGTACAGTGGTGGGGGGGGGGGGGGGAACTCACTAAGCTTTGTGCTTACAGTTTTCAGTTGTTGTTTCAGGTACCTCTTCTGTCAAGGGGAAGGAGCTGGCGCGGTAGCGGCACATCACACACGCTCTTTTGATTTCCACACCAACAGTCATCCTGGGATTTTGTATTCTGACATTTTCATGTTTTATGTTTTGGTTTACAGCCACGAGACATGTTTTATCAAATACTATGATCGTGTGATATTTTGTTACAAACGTTTTTTCAAATCGCTTAATTAAAAACGAAATTTTTGGCCCGTATTTTTGGGATGTTACAAGTTGGTATCAGAGCCCTGGTTTGAGGGATTCGGACACACCTTTGGGGGTGTCTGGACTCAAATCGAGGGATTAAAAGATTTTGAAAAAAAAGAAAATGTTTTTTAAGAGTTTTAAGAAGGAACAAAGTGTGTGATGTGCGTGACCGGCCGAGCTCAAGTAAGTACTCCCCAAAGTACCCATACAAGCTTATGTTATGTTTATCAGTTTCAGTAGAACAGTATGCTAGAATAGGACTAAGGATCTAGGAGTGATGCCTTATGTGCCTACTTTATGTGATTCAATGTATGAAATTGCATGCTAGAATTGAGTAGACAGCAGTAGGATAGCCTCTTAGGGTTATGCCTGATAGTATGAGTTTAGCACTGTATGCTAGTTCAGTTTCTCTCTAAGAGACCCTAGTTGCTTGAGATTGTTTCCTTTTGTCAGAATGCTGCTTGCTTTGTGCTTCGTGGGACTCTGGGCGATGGGAGTTAGCCAGTAGGTGAATACGTCACGTCACATGTGATCACGGTTGAATAATCTTAGAGTGCTGGATTTGGCCCTATTGCGTAATCTTGTTTGAGTCTAATCATTGTAGGGACGAGTCTGTTACTCGAAGGATTATCTGAGACTCATCACATGTGATGGTGTTCAGGTAATGGCTAAGTGGCATTACTCGGAGGCATTCAGCAGCTGAGGACCGGGTAGGGTGGAGTCAGAGATTTCCCTAGGGCAAGCCTAGGATGAGTATATCAGTGATCAACAGTAGTGAAAGGGAACTGGTGGAGTCGAGGTAGTCCTTGAAGAAGGTACGGATAGATGTGGAAGGTAGTATGGGCCCGCACTACTGGAAGCAGAGGATTCGTACCCGAACCAAGGAAGGACAAGATAAGACCAGGGAACTTGTAGTAGAGGTGATCCCTCAAGAGGTATCAATATCACTAACGGGTGTTATTTATGTATTGCAGAATGGTGGTACTATGTCCGAGGCCGATAGTTGGCAGTTCAAGAGAGGGATCGGATTCGAGATCAGGTTCCGAGCCAGTAGATGAGAGACTAAGTGAGTTCATCGCGTCAGAGATCACCAGAGGCATACTTGAGTCGACCCCCATCATCTTCGGGTCGATCAAGGAGGGGATAGTTGAGTTGATAGAGGATCGCCTTAGGGCGTTCAGGGAGACATGGCATCTAGCCAATCGGGATCTCGCACACTATCCTTTAAGGACTTCAGGGGCAGTGGTGCGCCAGATTTTCATGGGGCAAAGGACCCCATAGCTTCTAGGCCATGGATTTCAAACATTGAGTCTGCACAGTTGACTAGCTTCTGCCCTGAGGGGTCGAATGTGAGGTTTGTAGAAGAGTGTTTACGAGATCGAGCTAGGGATTGGTGGGAGTCCGTTGGTGACTCGTTGGGAGCCTCGGCTGTCGAGGCTATGACCTGGTCGGACTTTGTGACCAGGTTCAGGGCAGAGTTTGCACCAGCTGTCGAGCTTCAACAACTTGCCAGGGAGTTTTTAGATATGAGGCAGACGATGGAGACTGTGGTGGAGATCACGGCCAAGTTCTAGGAGAGGGAGTTGTTGGTGCCCCAATACGCG